GACACTACATTTTGCTGCTTCTCACAAAAGTGACCTGAGCTAGGATTCAAACCCAGGCCAGCTCACTTCCACTTCTGGGACAGACAGATGATCCTCTGGGGCCTTATTCAGCCTAGATCAGTGGCTCTGGGTCAGAAGAGGGAAAGACACTGCTCTCTAAGAAACCTGAGTGCCTTGAGCTGGGGGATGTGCCCAGGCACAGGGCCAGGGATAGCATTTACCCTGGTTTCAGAGATGAGGCTCCTGGAGGATGATAGAGCTGGGCTTGGGTGTCTGCCGGTGGGTTGAGAGGGAAAGGAAGGAAGGAAGAACCTAGATTTTATAAGCTTCCAAAGTGGAGTACAAACACCTTGGGACATACTGAAGATGATCTTCTGGGATATAGGAAGAAATTGTTAGACCTTCAATTATTTATATTTTTTGTCTTTTTTTTTTTTTTTTCCTGAGCAGAGTCTCACTCTGTTCTCCAGGCTAGAGTGCTATGGCATCAGCCTAGCTCACAGCAACCTCAAACTCCTAGGTTTAAGTGATCCTCCTGTCTCAGCCTCCCAAGTAGCTGGGACTATAGGTGCCTTGCTAATTTTTCTGTTGTTAGCAGAGATGGAATCTCACTCTTGCTCAGACTGGTCTCAAACTCCTGAGCTAAAGCAATCCTCCCACCTTGGCCTCCCAGACTGCAGTGTTAGAATTACAGAGGTGAGCCACTGTGCCCAGCCTAAAAAGTATATTCATGCAGGATATGGTTAAGGGGGAAAAAAAGTATATTTCTGTCTATCATGATAAATGCTCCGTGTTTCTCTTTTGTTATAGGTTTTATGTAAGGTAAGAAAAATTCGTAGAGTGCTATATTAGATCACCAGCTAAATGGGCGCAGGAGCCTCCTCTGTCTCATGTTTGATTATACCTCCAACTCCTCCCAGTGAGCCTAGTTTGCAGGAGCTAGTTAGTAAATATTTTTTGAACAGTGAGTCTCTGCTTAATAACTGATTTTTTTTTTAATTTTATGGCTTTAAACTAACCCTAACCTCTAGTTCCCCTCCTGGCCATAGAATAAGGAGTAAAGCACAGTTTGAAATCCACAAGGCTAGATGGTTCATTTATTGTGTGGTTTTTTTTCAATGAGGTCACTAAAGAAAGCAGGAAAGCCACTTTGTACATTTTAGCCAGCAATCCTTAAGATCCAAGCCCTATTATAGGGGGTGCAACAAAGAGGCATGTACAGTAATTTTTTTAAAAAGGATGGAATCATGATTCATATAATAATGAACATGTGCTCAAGATTTTATTTTACTCTGTAATCAATGACACACCAGGCAGATGTTATACCAGCTCCAAAGAATATCAGTAACACTTTTACATTGAAAGGAATTTTCAAGTAGAGGCAAAACTGGTTTTTCTACCTGCGAGAGTGGGAAATCAATTGGACCTTTACCAGGTAGGACAGAATGAGCATGTATTCGAATTACTTTGTGTTACTGTCAGTTATCTACAACTTACTGGCTATAAAATGGCTCAGTGAAAGACTAGAGTCCCAAGGCTGCAGGTCCCCCAGCACAGGTAGATGTTAGTATTTTGCTGTAATACCTTGGGGTCACATGTGGCCTTCTGTATCATTGACTGTGGCCTTTTGACTGACTCCAAATTTTCCAGAACACATCCTTTTAATAAAGGGATTTGTTCAGTGAAGTTTGGCTTCAGGGCCGCATTTGGGGATTTGGAGGGCCACATGTGGACTTGAAGCTACCTGTTCCCTACGTCTGGCCTGGAGGCTAGAAGCCTGCGTCTGATGGAGAAATCAATCATAAATTCACAATGGTTGACCAAACCCAGTCAGATGAGGGGGGTTTCAGAGCACTGTGGGGATTCAAAGGTGGGAGAAATCCCACCTGACTTCTTAGAAGAGGTGGCATTTGAATTCAGCAGAAAACAGTGGTTCTTAGCCTCTTTGGCTATGCCTTAGAATCACATAGGAACATTTTTAGAAATTACCAAAGCCCAGGACTCACCCCAAAACAGTTGAGTCAGAATCTCTGGGGGTTGACCTTATGCTTTGGTAATTTTGAAAAACTCCCCGGTTGTATTTATTAATGAAGCCAGAATTGAGAAGCACTAGATTCTAGAAGGCTAGATAAAAAGTGCAGGCATTTCTTGTTTAGCAGGGGAAAGGGTGAAGAAGAGGGAAGGGGGAGCAGAGATGTTAGGAAGGAAAACCAAGGGCCTGAAGGCTGAGCTAGCCAGGAAGCACTGAGGGCCACCATTGGACAAGGGAGTGACATGGCTCAAGTGTAGCACACAGGCACACCTCTGAGACAGAGGTCTGGGTGATTTTGTTATGCTCTTCCAGGTTATTTCTTGATTTTTCTTAAATCACCTTCTCCGTATGCCTGGTTTCACCCCCTTATACTCGACATCCCCCAGTAGAGGACTGTACTACTCCAAAGACCTTTTGAAACAGAAATACTCTTTCTTATTCTGGTGTTACTGTTCTTTCTTGCATGCTCCCAACTCATGTTCCATTGAATCCAGATTCTCAGCCTAAACCCCTAATATGTGTCTTAAATTTTACGTCTGTATAACAATCACCAACAGCAGAACAGAAAAGGACCAGATAAGAACATTTGGAAAGCTGTATTATTCTCATTTTGCATACCAGTAGTTTATCATACCCCCCTTTGGAGACCACTGTTCTAATGATGATGATTGTGGTAACAGAAATCACCATTTATTTATTAAACATTTAATTGTACCTGACCATGCCAAGTATTTTACCTGCCTTACATCATTGAATTTGCACAAAAACTTTATAAGATTATAATTTCAGAGATGAAGAAACTAAGGCAGAGAGAAATTATTTAAGTCACGCAAGGTCCTGTGCTAGGAATTTGCAGTGTTAAGACTTGAACGCCAGCTTGACCTCAAAACCTGGATTTATTACAACATCATGCTGCTTCCTTTGTAAATGTTTGGGCTTTTAATAAAAGCTACCATTTATTGAGCTTTTACTGTGTTCTGTGCACTATGCTAAGTACTTTTTTTATGTTATATCATTTATTTCTCAGTACCAGTAGGTATTTCTATTTGCATTTTTCAGGTATGAAAATTGAGATTCGGTTTAAGTAATTTACCTAAATGGCAAACAACTGAGGGACAAAGCCTTTGCCCTCACATGACTTAGACAAGATACTTACCCTGTCCAGCTCTCTCACTAGGCAGGGGTGAGCTGTTCTTCCTACAGTCAGCTGGGAGCTCTCAAAGGGGAAGGAAGGAAATGTGATTGATTACAGGCCCAAGGACTGAGGCCAGGGGTGTCTACAGCAGCACAGAGTCACCCTTACTTAGATGGGTTTCTGGAAGGATCGGTTGTGATTCACCCTCACTGAAACTCACCCAGGTCAGAAGGGATTCAGGGTTCCTGGGGGAGAGAGACACAGGTCTGGAAGGCCCATGTTTGCCAGTCGTGAATAGCTTTTCAGTCAAGAGAGTGCAAGTTGCATACTGGTGTGGAGACATGGGATGGAATCCTGTGGCTTGGGGGACTGGTAGTCTGCTGTGAAAATCCCTGGTTAAAATCTCTAAAAGCCTCTCACATCGCTCTGGATCTTCTCAAAGAAGGAGTGATGTATTGTCCCCATTTTACAGATGAAGAAACTAAGGCCCAGAGAGAGAACCTGGCTTGTCTGAGGTTATAGAGGGAATAAACTGGGAACCAGAATCTGAGTTTCGTTCTTTGGTGTCTTCCTGATGTCCCATCACAGCAATGGCCCCTGGCTGTGTGGGCTTCTTAAGACTGGGACCTACAAGGCAGAGATGCTGACTGCTGTCTGGGCCCTGGCAAGTCCATTTCTCTCCTTGAGGTGCCCTTCCCCCATCTAGAAAAAGAGAGGCTTGGAGTAGTGTTCGCTAGCAGCCACTCTAGGATTCTGAAACATTACATATAAGACACTCAGCCAGTTTAGGCGAGTATGGTCTGGGTTGCTCCAGAAGGGACCAGAGGCCCTCATTAAGATGCACCTGGGTAAATGGCACATCTATGATTAGATTTGGAACTTCCCTGAACCCTCAGAGGAGAGACTGCTGGTGGTAGCAGGCAGATCAGCCCTTCAAACTTCAATCTGAACACATAGTTCTGGAAGGATCTTGCTCTTTATGTACACATGAGGTGTGCACACACATAAGGCACACAGAAACTGCTCTCAGGGCTCAGACTATTTTCCCAAAGGCTTGGAAGTCCCTGCTTTGAGCTGTCTTCTCTTTGGAAAGGGGCTCTTGTCCAGATGGGCCTGGGCTGCAGCCAGCAGCAAAAGTTTCCAGTAAGGAGGCCAAAAGAAAATGCCTCAAGGCTGGAGGTGCAGGTGACAGGCCTCAGCCTTCGCTCCCATATGTCAAGTCACTTCCTGGCCCTCATGCAGTCCCTGTTTCTGCTAGCCTTGGGGGTTCCCTCTCCCCCTGTCCCCACTGTTCCTTAGGCCTGGGGAAACCCAGAGCTGGCCTCCAGCCTAATCTTGGGGTAGATGTGGGCTCCCTGCCCTAGGGACACACAACTGGGGGTGAGGGGGTGCTGTTCCCATTTCCTGGTGAGAGCTGCATATTGTGCTGAGGGGCCCCTGGTTGCCAGGGAAACAGCAGGGTTTCCTTGCGCTAAGCTGAGCTGGGCTTCTTTTGCAGGCAGATCTGTCTTCTGCCCTGCACTCCTAGCCCTATCATGTCTGTCCTCTGCTGACTGCAGTCTGGGGGATTTGCAATCAGGCAACAGGAAAACGTTGCAATCAGGCAACGGGCAATCGCTTCAAAGGCCCTATCCTCAACTTCCCAGCAGTACAGCAAATACCACCATCCACTGAGAACATACCTGGTGCCTGGCCTCTATGCTCTGTCCTTGATATAGTTTATGTTTCAACCCCCAACAGGCAAGAAAGTGAAAGCAACGGTTTTGCACTTGAAATAACTTTGAACTCAGAAATGAGCAATAAGCCCATGATCACATAGTTGATAAGTGATAAAATAAGCATTTGAATCCAGGTCCATCTGGCTTCAAAACCTATTTTGTGTCACTCTGACTCTGGTATCCCAAAGTGAGGGCAGACTATGGAGTGAGGTCAGGGGCTGGTTTCTCTAAGTTTGGGGGGAGTGGGGAATATATGGAGAACTAGAAAGCATAGAACTGGAATGTCTCCAAGGTTTCTACCTTTCTAGTTCTGTTCCCTGTGGGGTCTCACTAAGTAAGCCTGATTGAGTTGGTTATTTTTACTTTTTAAAAGCAATACATAGGCTCGGCACCTGTGGCTCAAGTGGCTAAGGTGCCAGCCACATACACCTAAGGTGGCAGGTTCGAATCCAGCCTGGGCCTGCCAAACAACAATGACAGCTGCAACCAAAAAATAGCCAGGCGTTGTGGTGGGTGCCTGTGGTCCCAGCTACTTGGGAGGCTGAGGCAGGAGACTCGCTTGAGCCCAGGAGTTGGAGGTTGCTGTGAGCTGTGATGCCACGGCACTCTACCAGGGGGACAGCTTGAGGCTCTGTCTCAAAAAAAAAAGCAATACATAGATAAAGTTAAAGAGATCAAATTATGCAGGCCTGCTTACAGTGGCAAGCACTCGGTCCTCTGTTCCTCCTCTCTTAATCCTAAGATTGCCTGACTGTCCTCTTCTGCCTTCCTGCTGAGCATGCTCATTAGCTCAGCTCCCACCACCTCCTCTTCTCCTTTCCAAGTCACTTACATCCTTTCTTCATTTATTTTTAGTAATGTACCCTGTTCCTTCACTGTTTCCTGACACCTCCACCTCATATGCCTTATCCATTTTCAATGAGATCGTGTGTCCTGTGTGTTCAAATCCCCCACAATGGCCTTGTCCCACCAGAGAAAAAGCTAGTCTTCACAGGGACCTCAGGCACTGGCCCCCTGACTGTATATCCTACCAGCCCCTGCCCCCACCTCCCTGCCACCACATAAGCCACTCTGGGCCCTAAGGTGGTTCCTCACTCCCACTGCCCACAGCTGCACTCATGAGACCCTCTGACCCTCTTCTTGGGACTTTACCCCTTATCACTCTCTGACTAAGCCTTTTATTTTCTCCTTAGTTCTTAGCCTAACTTATGCATTTGTTATCCTACTCTATTAGAGTGTAAGCTCCAGAAAAGCTTTGTTTTTAAAATCTCTTTCATACTTCTGTGTCCCCTATGCTTAGAACAGCTCCTGGCTCAGAGTAGATGCTGAATAAATGCTCACTGACTTGTACGGAAGCCATAGCCCTTCAGGGTACAGCAGGTGGTGGGGAGCCCCCTAAGTCTCAGCTGCAGACCTGTGAGTTTCCGAAGCCATTCTGTTGATTTGGGAAGAGGGCACAGGAAGTGCGGATAGTATGGATTCTGGCATCTGGAATTGTTGAATTCACGCTCTGTGACCTCAGATCACACATTGTAATACCCTGGCCTCAGTTTCCTCCTTTACACAAAAGAGGATCTGATGCCCGGAAGAATCTCAGGCACTGTTGGAACACACACCCTGCACAGCCTGGAGTCAGGCAGTCAGTGGGAGGTCAGAGGTCATGCCCACCCTCCCTCTCCACTCCAAGTGTGTGAATGTCTGGACACCAGCCAGTCTATCCATTGGCCTTGGAAAACAGAAACCACCAGGGTGAGGAAATCTGGGGAGGGAAACAGAGCCGAGCAGAGTGTGGGAATTCTCATGGATCTCTTTATTCTCCACAGTGGATTCTGCTGCAGAACCTGAGACCATGGCCAAACCAGCACAGGTAAGAGGACCCTTTTTCCCAAAGGATGTGCTCTACCTTCCCTGGAGCTGGGATACCCTAGAGTCACTAGATCCACAGCAGAGACCCCTGGTAACATCACCTTAAAGGAGCAAGAAAGGTTGTTAGGCTTTACTTGCTCCTGTTCCCAGTCATAGCTCTTCAGATACAGGATACCAGTGACAACACATAATATTCTAAGCAGAAAAGGATGAATATTGGCTCATGTAACTAAGAAGCCCAAGACTTCAGGTCTGGGTGGATCAGGGAGCCCAAGTGATAGTGTTGGGATTTGTATCTGTGATCTGGTGGCTTCATTCTTAGGACCTTCCTTGCCTTGACATGCAAGCCACCAGCAGCTCCAGGCTTCCATTCCACTGTCTTGGCCACGTACTGATTCCAGGGTATATCCCAGGTTTGGTTGTTATTGGTGGGGCCTGGGTAACCAGCCCTCTCTTGGACCCAGGAGGGAGAGGTGGGCCTACCTGAACTGCATGCCCAAGTGGTTCCCAGGAAGGGAGATGGATACTGGACAGGCACAAAAGTTATTGAGGATCCTCTTTGCTCTGGAGATGGAAATGTTTCCTGTCACACCAATTTGGGGTTAATTCTCCTAGCTTGGGTGACTCTAACCTCTATCTTTCATGCTGTCTGACTACTCTTCTGGAGACATCAGAGCTCTTACTCTTATGTGGCAAAGATTGGGTTCTGTCCGTGGTCAGAGCTAAGAGTAGCTCTGTCAGGGTGAGCCCGAGAGTGCTCCTTGTTGGCTGGCCTAAGAGAAGGAGGTGTGGTCAGTGCCAGGATAGGATCCAAAGGGGACAATAAAGCTGACGGACACCTGACTTGGCCCCTTTTGTGCCTACTGCAAACCCAGAACTATAGGCCACAGAAAGTAACACAGGGTCTGTGAGTCCTTACTTCCTTTGGCCCTCATTTTCCCCCTACAGGGTAGTTGAGTTCAATGACAATTAACTTCATGCCTGACTCCATGACTTGCCACCCAGTGAACCTGGGCCTAAAGGATCGTCACAGTTTTTGAGGAGCACAGTGTGTTGTAGGATGTAGGATAATAACCCTCAAAAATATCCGAGCTGTGGCCTCCACATCAGCCACTGAGGAGTGTGCTTTGCAAGTGGCCTTTCTGATCAGGAGGAGAGAGTGGTAGTGGTTATGGGTGAAAAGCCAAGGTGGAACTTCTACTGTTCCCCATTTTCTCACATGTGGTCATTCTAGAGCCACTTCCTGAAAGGCAATGGAATTTCAGGATTCTGGATGATCCAAGTGGACAGGTCAGGTCCCTGGGAGATCAGAGAGACCAGGACCTTAGGGTGCAGGCCTTTGGACTCCAGTGTTCTTGGGTCATGCCTGGCTGACCTGTGATTTCTTGTTGCCATGGACCAGGGGCCAGCAGATCTCCCCTAAGCAAGCTCTGGAGTGGCAGGGCTCTAGGAATATCTTTTCCTGTGGGGTGAACTGGCATCCCCTGTGCATAGTGCTCTGATGGGGGCATTAAAGGAGCTCTGAGGACATCAGAAGGGATGCCCCATCCTGGTTGAGGGGACAGGAAAAGCTGCCTACAGAGAGCCACTCAGGGAAAGAACAAGGGGACTGAGAATAGTGGGAATGGCTGGAACAGAAGGGTGGAGGGGAAAAGAGAGCACAGTGGGAGTCAGCAGTAAGAGTAATTTGGTATGCTTGGTGTGCAGTGGTTTGGGGGAGCAGAGGAGGTTGTAGGAGACAAAACTAGAGAAGTATGAGAAAGATCTCCCGTCCCTTGGGCTAAAGTTCATGGCTGTTGCTTCCAATTATTAGCTCATCATCTGGTGCCCACCCACCCCCAACACACACACACGCGCCCACACACGTGCACATGCGCACACACACAGTAGACTGTTCACGCTTCTCTGGCCCAGTCACTCCCAGCTCCTACTACTACAGTATTGTGCCATTCTCCCTATCTGTCCTTCCAGGAGATGGGAATGTGTGGCCCAAAGACTTAAAGAACTAGTGTGGTGTCATGGAGGGTGCTAGGAGACATGGCATAGTGGCCTCAGTTTCATAGCGGCATCTGGGCTTGAATGTGATGATGAACATAATGACACCTTAAGGACAGAGTAAGAGAGGCAGGTCTCCCGCCCAGGGCTCTGGGAGCTGTGGATGTGAGGCCTGGGTCAGATCTGGTCAAGGCAACTCTTAGCTGGAGTCCTGCCAGGCAGCCATCTCTCTGGGGGATGTCACTTCTGCTCCTGAGATGCAACTGGGACTCCTGCTCCAGAAGTGGCCTGGATGGGGCCCAGGCCCACAGAGCCCCAGGGCCCGGGCTGTTCACCAGCTGGCAGCAGGGCCTGCTGAATATTTCAGGGTGGAAAGTCCCTTCTCTGCTCTCCCTGCCCAGGTACTACAGCCAGGAACGTGTCTGCCAGAGGTAGGACAGGCAGTCAGGGTGAGGAGAAACCAGTGCAGAAACACAGGGGCACATAGAAAGGCAAAATGCACAAAGTTGCTGTGAGAATGATCAACAGTGGGAAAGCCAGGCCCGGATGACATGGGGGTCTGTGTCTGTCTCCACATGTGACCAGTGCAAAGCCTCCTACCCCTGCTTCTAGTGGCTGTGGTCCTGTGGGGTTCCAGGATAACTAATTGATTTTATTATCCTTGTGTAATAAAGACCAACCTTGCTCTTCGAGAGGCTTGTCTCCGAGGTCAAGCCCTGTGTATGTCATTAGACACCCTTTCCCCCACAGAGGATTACCTCATCTTCTGTCAGCTCCAGCCCCTTCCCAGACGCTGTCGCAACCACCCACACTATGCCCAGTGGAGGAGGGAGGGCCTGGAGGAGCAGCAGTAAGGAAGGGGCAGTCCACCTGCTCCAGTCCTTGGGACATGCTTCCATCTTCTCTTTGTGCCCTCCTGTCAGCGTACAGTCCCATGATCTTAGCAACTTTGGGCATCTGTCTGTGAGCTCTGAAGAGTCTCCACTCAGACTTGGTACCAGCACATCCCTATCCCAGCAGGCAAGTTAAAAAGTCTTCTAGATCCCACCTGAAACCTACTGCTAATCGATTACTTTTGATTTACATAAAAGGCAAGCTATCTGGTTCGACCTAGTAAAAAATGCCAAACACTGGGGGCAGGGTTATGCATAGGCAACTCTGTTGAGTAGGTAAGAAAAACAATGCCTCAGTGTGCCCAGGTCCTGACTTAGGTGGTATGCCCAGGATGACCACCAGGGCTAGAGCTGCCCTCACCAGGAGTGAGGAATTTATCTAATCCCTATCTGTCATGCTCCAGCCTCATCTCTGCCTTCCCCATCACAGTGGATGATCGCAGGAACTCTGGGCATCTGGCCTGAGCGCCGAAGGGTCTGGCCTGCTTTCCTGAGTCCTCACTTCTCTCCAGGCCCATGCCTTGCGTTTCCTCTGTGATGCTTCCTTCCTCATCACCTTTGTCCTCCCTCTCGCACCCCTTGGGGCCAGTTGTTACTCATCCTTTAGGACTTGCCTAGATGTCACCTCCAGGAAAACTTCTCTGATCTGCTCAGTTTATGTTCACATTCATTTATCCACCCATTTATGGAACAAATACTGAGTGAGTGCCTACTTGCTCAGGCCCCTACTAGATGTTCGAAATGCCTCAGTAAGCAAGACAGACATGGTCCTTGCTCTTACAGAACTTTCTAAAGGTAGTAGTATCTCTTTCTGGCTCCAGTGTTACCCTTGCCATAATACCTCCCAGACTATGGTATAGTTGAAATTTATCTCCCCTGCCGGACTGTGAATTCTTAGTGGTCCCTGGTCGTAGCACTGAGTAAATATTGCTTGCTTGGTTGATTGAATGAATGAATGAAGGGTGCTTGTAGCTGCCCTGGAAGTATGATTTTCTAAGTGTGAGAAGCACTTAGGATCCCATGGTTTAGACAGCATGCTGCCTCTTTACCGCCTTAAAAACAGGGTCAGAATGGCACAGAGATGAAAGGGGCCTACCTGATAAGAGCTAGTCCCAACAGAGGAGGTGAAGGGTGCAGTGAGGTAACTCTGGTGCTTCAGTATTCAAGAAGAGGGACAGGCAGATGGCAGGTGGACATCATTGGCCAGGGAAGAAGCCCTGAGCCATGTGTGATGGTTGTCCCTACTCATCTCCACCCCACCAAGATGGTCTGCTAGAAGGAACCTCGGATTCCCTTCCCAGCTGGGCTCCTGACTTGCTGTGTAGTTGTTTTTGTTTTGTTTTTCTTTTTTAGGGGGATGACTGGCCTCTGGGCAACACGTGCAACCCCGGGGAGCACCTCTTTGGTTTTGTTTTTCTTGAGACAGGGTCTTACTCTGTTGGCCAGGCTGGAGTGCAGGCAGTACCATCAACATAGCTTAGTGCAACCTCAAATTCCAGGGCTCAAGTGATCCTCCTGCCTCAGCCTCCCCAGTCACTGGTATTAACAGGCACCCGCCACCACTCCCAGCTAGTTTTTCTATTTTTAGTAGAGACAGAGTCTCCCTCTTGCTCAGGCTGGTCTCAAACTCCTATGCTCAAGCATTCTACCTGCCTCAGCCTCCCAGAATGCTAGGATTATAGGTGTGAGCCACTGAGCCTGACCTGCTCTGTGATCTTGACATGTCACCAGCCCTCTCTGTTTTGGGTCTTCTGGGAATTACAGGTGGTAATACTAAACCCAGCCTTCCTCACAGGGGTATCCAACCTACAGCCCTTAGATAGTCTGCTGATTTTGTGAGGACTGTTTTGCTCATCTGTGTTGTGGGATATCACAAAAAGTATGCATGGACCTATTTTTGGTAGTCAGCTTTCATTAGCATTTGTGTATTTAATGTGTGGCCCAAGACAACTAACTCATCTTCTTCCAATGTGTGGCAGAGGAAAAACAAGTTCGGATGCTCCCGCTCATTTAGTTATCGGCATATGCTTCTCAAGGTACAGTGCCTCCATTATCCCAGGTGAATAAGGTGATGCCCTACAACTGGAGGAGTGGATTGGAGACTAGTGCTGGTTAGGACAGGTTGGCTCAGACAGGTGGAGAGAAAAGCAGTTGTGGGGCCTGGCCACAGGCTAGCCTGCCAAGGCCCAGGCAGACACTGGAGGACCTGCCCCTAGTGGCATCTTTCACGGCTTATTATTTCCGTGCTGGGCCCAGGAGGCCCAGCACTGGGGATAGCACTGTTAGGATTTCCGGGCCAGAAGGGCTCCCTCCACAGCCTTCCCCTTCAGTGTCCTCCATCCTGGGGCCTGGACCGTCACTGGTGTCTTCATTCATTCATGCAGCCCAGTCCCTTCAGCTTCTGTGCCAAGCCTGTGTAGCTCTGGGGCTCTGTAGTTCTTCTTAGGGAGAGTTACTTGTCTCTTTCATGCCATCATCCCTGTCCACCGTGGAGTCAAGAACTGAGGAAGCACTGAACTGAGGGGTCTTCAAGGACCCTTGCAAAGCACTGTTTCTGAGCCTCTTTGCCCTCTTATTTTTCCATCCATCCCAGAAGAGAGTCTTTATCTGCACTAGTTTTTTGATATTGTTGCACTAAGTATGTCCAGGGAGAAAGACTAAAGGGTTTGGAAGTGAAATACCTGAAGGACATCAGTTGTTCTGTCTTGTTCATTTATTCATGGGATAGATACTTGAGTCCTTCCTTTGGTTAGGCTCTGTGCAGCGTCCAGGGTATGTCTGTACGTGCACTCAAGGGCTCTGGATCCACTGCCTACCTAGGGATTTCTTGAGCTCCAGACCCTGAAGTCTAAAGGAAGGCCGAGGGGAGCTCTGCCAGCAGAACCCCATCCTGTGCTCACTTAGCTCCTTGCAAGACACCCTGGTCTAGGTACTTGGCATGTGTTACTCTCCTTCTCTGCCCAGAGGTGTGATCAGGTTGCAGGGAATTCATGGGTAGTGGGAAGAGGGCTGGATCCCTTTCTGGTCACCGCCCTATCAGAGCTTTAAATAGCAACTCCACGCCCACGCATGCATACCTCAGAGGAACCAGCCTCTGCAGACATAATCCAAAGAGCATTCAGATGCCTGACCAGGGTCCTGTAGTATAGGCACTTGGGGGCGCAGGAGATAGACAAGGGCTCACTCTGCCTGTCCACTTCTCCTTCAAGACAGCTGATGTGAGCCACCCCCAACTCCTTCCTGTATGACCCCTTTCCTGGTTTCCCCCTAGTTGAAATCAGCTATCACTATTTTCTCATATTATCTTGCTTTTTAGCAAGTCTTAGAGTGTTTATTACAAGCTTTATGGTAATTAGGATATTTATTACAAGGTCTATGGTAATGTGTGTGTGTATCTGTTCCTTTCTCTCTGCCACTGGGCCAAGAGGTCATGAAACACAGACATCTGGTCTCCTTTCTCCCCAAATCTTTACTCCTTGGCATCAGGCCTGGCACAGGTAAAATGCCTTGCCACTGTGCTGTGTGCTCGGTGACAGGCTCTGGCAGACTCAGCTCCACCAGCTCTCGGCTGCTATCCCAGACCCCATACTTCTCAGTCCTGCATGGCTGACTCATATCTGACTTCCCTGTGAACCAGCCCCATTGTGCATTCAGGTTCAGGTTCATTGTCTAAGATCCCCGGGCTCTCTGCTCCCTCTTTCCTTCCTACAAGGTCCAGGCCAGCTTGTCCTCAGATACCGGTTCACAATTCAGTTTACTGGGCTGAGAGGGGCAGCATCTCTTCTTGGCATTGAACCAAGGGTGGCTATTGGCACCTCTGGCTCAAGACCCCACTGTCAGTAGCTGGCAGAGGCAGGGTTTCTGGATCTAGAGAGCAGAGGGGAACAAGGAGAGGTCTAGGAAAGTGGTTTTCCTTCTTTAAGCTTGACTTCTTCATCTCATGATGGAGATAATCTTAAGTGCTTCTGCAAATTGCTAAACTAATCACATTAATGAAGGTGAAAGGGTTTTGTAAACTGTAAAGTGCTGTAAAAATATGAGGGACTCTGGTTACCCCTGTAGGGATCATTTCCCTCCCCCACACTCAGCAAGTATTTTTTTACCCTCTCCTGGGCCCCTTGGAAGGTGGTTCAGGGCTGTGGGCCTTGGCCAAGCCACCCTTCCTTGGGGATATGGCACTGTCACTTGGGCAGGTTGCAGCAGATGGTGTGGAGAATCATCTGTGCCCCTATGCAGGGTTTATGTAGTCAGCACTCGATTGTGCAAGAGGAGGGAGCTCAGCTTGAACCAGAGTAGATGTCTAACCTGAGGTTGGGGATGGGAGCTGGGTCTAAGTCCAGGGTCAGCAGCGCACTCACTGCTTTCCTCTCCACAGGGTGCCAAGTACCGGGGTTCCATTCATGACTTCCCAAACTTTGACCCCAGCCAGGATGCTGAGGCTCTGTACACTGCCATGAAGGGCTTAGGTGAGTGCCAGGCCTCTGAGAGAAGGGCCTGCAGAAAGGGGAGGTTGGGGTCATTCTCCAAATATGGACATAGCCCAGATCCCTTATGGTGGTGGGGCCAGGGTGAGATGGTAAGGTATACTCATTCGTTTTTCGAGCTCCTTTTAAAATTATTTTTCATAATTTTATAATAAAATATTTCAGACCAACAAAAAGTTACAAAGAATAGTAGAAGCTTCACCCATAGACCTACCACCCAACTTGAGAAATAGTGCTTCATCAGCATAGTTGGAGTTTCCTTGGTAGGTCTATCTCCTGGTAATATTTCCTCCTGGTGACCACTGCTCTGACTTTGGTGCTTATGTTCTCTCTGTCCTGTGGCTGAGAGAACCCTGTACTGGGTGTTAGGATACTTGGATTTCCTAAGCCAGGCTCATCCTGAGACCTTGGTGGAGTCCTTGCCCTGCTCAGAGCCTCAGTTTCCTTACTTGTGCAGTGAAGAGCTGAATTGAAGGCCCTCCAAACTCAATAGCATATGTACTCTGATCCCTCTCAGTGGCAGCTTAGTTGATCCCCACAAACCCCCCACCTCGACTCCAGCACCTGTGAGCAGAAGGCTTATGCTGAGCACTGCAGGAGCTAGGGCTATGTCCGGGGAAGGAAGCATCCCTGGTGGGCTTCCTGGAGGCGGGCTGGATGGGGTGACAGATTCCCTCCCTCAACCAGGCAGTGACAAGGAGGCCATACTGGAGCTGATCACCTCCCGGAGCAACAGTCAGAGGCAGGAGATCTGCCAGAACTACAAGTCCCTCTATGGCAAGGTAACCATGTGACTGAAGGCAGATGGGGTGGGGGCTGGGAACGATCTCACTCATCTGTGCTCATTCAGGTTCTTTCCTGCATCTGGCACTCCAGGTCAGCCTCTGTGCTTCAACCTCATTTACATCTAGAGTACCTGCTGTATACTGGGCTCATGCTAGGTGCTAGGGCTGCATAGGTGAATAAGACCCATGAGGTGTCAGCTTTGTGGAATCCCAGACAGTGGGAAAGACATGCAGTAAACATAGGAGCAGGCGGTGATAGGAAAGGGGCACAGCACTGTGGGTCCAACCTGCACATCCGTTTGCTAGCTGCATAAGTTTGGGCAAGTTACCTGATGTCTTTGAGCCTATTTCTGAGGATTGGTGATAGTACATACCTCTAAGCATGATGATTCCATGAGACTACTTAGCCCAGAGCCTGCCAGAGTAGTGCTCATTAAATATAATTCTTATTATAATAGCTTCCCCTTCCTCTTCTATCTCTTCTCTTCCCTCCCCCCAGGACCTCATTGCTGACTTGAAGTATGAGCTGATGGGGAAGTTTGAACGGCTGATTGTGGGCCTAATGCGACCACTTGCCTATTTTGATGCCAAGGAGATTAAAGATGCCATCTCAGTAAGAAGCATGGGTGTGTGTGTGTGTGTGTTGCAGTGGGAGCATGGTTAATGGAAAGATTCCAGGCTCTTTAGCAACCGTCTGGTGAGCCCAAGAACCACCCAGCAGATGTGTCCTGCTTCAAGAGGCAGCTTGCCAAAACCCTGTCCCAGAGGGGCATTGTAACCTCCTCCCAACAGACAGATGTGGACAGATGTCAGTGTGATGCAGAGCACATGAACGGGGCCCTTGGCCCAGACCCCGATACCAGGAGTTTATGGTCCTGAAGAAGCAGATTATAGAGACATGGAGACAAATTGTGTCCAATGCACCACAGGCTAAGGGCACACTGGTCAGCATGCTAGACTCTCAGCCTGGGGTGGCTTGAGAGAGAGAGAGACTTAAAAGATGAGAAGATAGGTTGAGCCCCAAAACAAAGATAAGATTTAGTGGACAGGAGTGTCAGTGTCATTACTGGCTGGGAAAGGGGTGGGAGAAGTTGTAGAGGTCCGTTCAGGGTATGAGGAGCATCTCAATCTGGCTGAGCTAGAGGGCTGCTTCTAGTAAAAGGGAGAGATAAAAAGCACTTAAGTGTGTCTGGAACTTTATAAAGTACTATAATCTTTCCCTCTGATGAGCTATTAAGCATGAATTTATTTCATAAACTGTGAGAGATTATTAGTATCTCAATCTCCCTGTGAATTTACTAGAGCAACTAACATCATCTCCATTTCGTAGATGGGAAAACTGAGGCACCACAAGGTAGTTTCGTGGCTGGGTGTGATGGCTTACGTCTATAATCTCAGCACTCTGAGAGGCCGAGGCGGGTGGATTGCTTGAGCTTAGGAGTTCAAGACCAGCTTGAGCAAAAGCGAGACCCCGTCTCAACTAAAAACAAGGGAAAAAAACTAGCTAGATATAGTGGTAGGTGCCTATAGTCCTAGCTACTTGAGAGGCTGAGGCAAGAGGATTGCTCAAGCCCAAGAGTTTCAGGTTGCTGTGAGCTATGATTCCATAGCACTCTATCCAGGGTGACAGGCTAAGACTCTGTCTCAAAACAAAGTTCCATAGTCAGAAGTCACAAGGCAAGCTGCTGGCATAGGCAGGACTAGAAGCTATGCCTTGACTCAGCGCTTGTGGCTCAAGTGGCTAAGGTGCCAGCCACATACACCTAAGGTGGCGAGTTTGAATCTAGCCCAGGCCCACCAAACAGCAATGATGGCTGCAACCAAAAAATAGCCAGGTGTTGTGGTGGGTGCCTGTAGTCCCAGCTACTTGGGAGGCAGAGGCAGGAGACTCGCTTGAGCCCAGGAGTTGGAGGTTGCTGTGAGCTGTGATGCCACAGCACTCTACCCAGGGTGACAGTTTGAGGCTCTGTCTCAAAAAAAAAAAAGAAGCAGCTATGCCTTGTGAGTTTTAGGGTAGCAGGTCCTGCTCAGAACCTAAGAACTGTGGTAACAGCCCCCTGAGTGCTGGAGGTTTCATAGCTCTGGACACTCCAGGATCCCGACCTGTGGCTGGTGGCCTTCCTTCCCAGCCCTCGACTCAGCACACTCTTTCTCTTCTCCCAGGGCATTGGCACAGATGAGAAATGCCTCATTGAGATCTTGGCTTCCCGGACCAATGAGCAGATTCACCAGCTGGTAGCAGCATACAAAGATGGTGAGATGGACAGGAGGGGCCACTCAAGATCTTCAGATACAAAATGAGGATGATGGCAGGGATGGGGACACTAAGATTCTATCTCTCTACCTTCTTTCCTCTTTCTATGCAATAAGTACCTGCTCTGTGTTGGGGGTGTGCTAGCTTCTTAGGATAAGATGGTAGCTAAAATCAACAGAGTCCCTGCCTTCTAGAACTTCAGACCCATGAGTTCATGAGGGAGACAGAACAAACAGTATCCATTGCAGCTAAGTGTTATGAAGGAAACAAGATATGAATCAGACTTTCATGAGGGAGGACGACTTCTGACTGTAGTCAGGGAAAAACTATCTTGGGAGGAAACCAGGAAACAAATGTACAAAGAATGAAGAGAAGGAGGCCAAGACAAGAGGATCCCTTAAGCCCAAGAGTTTGAGGTCGCTGTGAGCTCTGATGCCATAGCACTCTAGCCAGAGCAACTGAGTGAGTTTGTCTCAGGAAAAAAAAAACATTGCCTTAAAAAAGAAAAAAATCCAACTCTGTAGTCCCAGCTACTTGGGAGGCTGAGGCAGAAGGAGCATTTGAGCCCAAGACTTTTGAGGTTGCTGTGAGCTATGGCACTCTACCAGAGCAAAAGAAGAAGAAATCTGAACAAAACAAAGCAATAGAAAAAAAGAAGAAGAAGAAGAGTAAAGAGAAGATTCTTCCATCTTCCAGGATGGGGAAAGGCAAAACCAAAGGCACAGAAGCAAAAGTGAGGCTGGCAGCCAGTCTGAGATTAGACAGGTAGAGTCTGGGCCTTGTAGGCCAAGAGAGAGATGGTGAGTATTACCGTCAAATATGGGCTTTAAGTTGGAAAGCTGTAGTCACTACCCAGAGAGGAGACGGTGCTGGCTGCAATAGGATGGTACAGGTTGGGGTAGTTAGAGAGAAGTGGACAGATTCCATTTCATCATGTCACGATCAGCACTGAAAACTGAAAATGCACCATGGTTTTTGCCATAGCAGTCATATAGGCTGGGTTTGGGAATCTGTGACAAATATCTGATCATTTTGGGTACAGCAGGGTCCTTTATTCTGGATCCAGGAGGTCTCTGGGGGATGAGACTAGAGCTTGTCTTCCTTCCTGCAGCCTATGAGCGGGACCTGGAGTCTGACGTCATTGGTGACACCTCTGGGCACTTCCAGAAGATGCTTGTGGTCCTGCTGCAGGTTGGTCCCTTGCTTGCTTTGTCCTCTGGCGCTTGAGATGGTTTCCATCTGGCTCATCTGGTATAGAGTCTGAGTGGCATCCTGGTCAGTTTCTCCTGGTTGGCACAGGCAGGTGTTTTCGTGGGATGTGCCCGTCCCTTTGGCACATGCTCCTCACTTGTGCCCAAGAGTGTCTTCTCTCAGGAGCTCCTTCCTCTCTCCACACTTAGCTCTTCCTCCTCCTCTCGGGGCCACCCCTGCCACTGTTTCTGGAGCCATGGCTCGTACCGAGGACACCAGCAGGGCCGTGGCATTGGGGGGCTGCCTATTTTGCATCTCCATGTCCAAGCCCTGCTGCTTCCTCCCAGCCCGCCCAAGGAGTGTGTCAGGAGGGCTCTATGAAGAGGCTGCAGGCTGGTGTCCATGCCTGAGTTCATTCAGCCAAGATAGATTTTTGTCCTTTGTCTTCCTATATAATGTGTTTAACAAAGAAAGAAAAACAACTTTGAGTTAGTTGCTAACATTTAAAAATCATGAAACTTTGCTCAAAAACCGTATTTCTGGATTCTTTTGATGTAGTGAAAGTTCGGGCAACAGCAGGCCTGCATTCTACATGAACATGAGCAGGGGATGGAGCACACGTCCCCTTGCCCACTTCACCACACACTTTATCTGCTGGCCCTGTGGGATTCTCTGTGACCACAGCTGCTGGGGTCTCTCAAGCCCAGCTCCAAGGACCAAAACCTTTATGAAGTCTCATATGTAAATTAAGCTACCACTTTGTTTCCTCTGTCCCCCATTTCCTATTTTATACCAGTTTCTCCCGATTCTCCTCCTCTCATTGCCATAACAATCCACATCCCATATTAACCAGCTGGGGAATTATCAGGAGAAACATTAGCAGTGGGAAAGTGTGACCTTGGCCCAATTTTCAAAGCTGCTTGTTCTGGAGAAGAGAGCTGTATCTGGGAAGGTATGGATATGCCAGGAAGAGGGATGTTGTCTCCCTAACATCTAACAGTGAGTAGGAGCGTGACACAGACTGTTGACATGCCAGCTCTGCCTGACAGCTCCTGAGAGAACAGAAGAGTTGCAGTCCTGAAATGCACAATCCAGGAGAAAGAGGGGTGGAACATAGGCCTCGCCAGGCCTGCTGCAGACCCCTCTTCACATAAGCAAGGAGCCTGGCGTGGCTTGCCCCTGTCCCTTTTGAGTATCTTCCTATTTTTAAACCTTCCTTATCAGATGGGCTTATCATAGTGCTTGAGCAGAACAAAAGAAGGACCAGTAGGAGTTGGTGCCTTTGCAGGTGTGAGCTCAGATCTGGGGGTCCAAGTCCCAAATCCTGATGGGTGAACTGTTTGGGTTAAGTAGGGGAATGCCTAATGGAATGCAAACATGAAGACCCTGTTACCTCTGTGGAATCATTGTTGGGGGGTGTAGTGGGCCATGCCATGACCTGTGGCAAGAGCTGTCCACATACCGAAACTCTGTCCCTATTCTCAGAGGTGTCCTCAGTACAAGGATCTTACTTTTTTATCGGGACAGGGACACCTGGAAGGACTCCGATTATTCCTGGCACCCCTTGTGTGGTCCCAGCCTCAAGGATGAAGGGAGAGGCTGGCAAGAGCGACTCTGATTCCCCAAAAAATAGGTGCTGTGATCTTGATCCAGGGGCATTCACTGCTCCTAGACACCCCTGGGCTGCCAGGGTCTTCTCAGCCTTCCCTATTTCCACCCCAGCATCCATCCATGCCTTCCTCCAAACCCTGAGGTATTTGAAACACATATCCCTTGTCTTTCTGCCCAGGGAACCAGGGAGGAGGACGATGTAGTGAGCGAGGACCTGGTACAACAGGATGTCCAGGTAAATAAAGAAGTCCCCAATGAGGAAGTGGACAAAGGAGCCTTGAGAGATGGGAGGGGCAGGGCCTGGGAAGGGCTGGCGGTAACGTCATTTACATCAAAGACTACCAGTAACCCAGTCATAGCCATCATTTATACAGCACTTTGTTGAAGAAAGGATTTAAGTTGTCTTTCAAAGGTACGTTACATGTGTAAGTTGGTGAGATGTGTTTTGGAGCTTTCATTATTTACTCATTCAGTTATTTCATATTTATTGAATTAAAACACCTACTATGTGCTAGACAAGCTCCCAAGTGTTGAGGACTTACTGCCAAACAAAGGTGGGCAGTACTGGAGTCAGGCATATATTAATCACACAAATACTTGTGTCCATACACCACACAATCCAGATGTTTTGAGCACCCACTGTGTACCAGTAACACTACAGGGGCAGATACAGAGCAGGCTAAGACATAGTCTCTGTCCTTTGGAAACCATGCAGTGGTGAGTAAACAGACGTGTGAAGAAGTTATAATACAAAGATAGTAGATCAAAGAGGCAGAAAGCTATAGGAGCCTAAAAAAGGGAGAGAAGGAGGGAAAGATCACCCTTCCAGGTGGGCATCAGGAAGTGCTTTGAGCAAAAAATGGACACTCAGCCTGGGCCTTGAGAGTGGGGTAGGAGTGTCTCCAGAAAGAACAGAAGAAGGTGTGCAGGTACCTCCATGTGCTGCAAAACCGTTCCGGTCAGAACAGACTGCATCTCCGAAGGCACTCCTCAGTCCCGTAAGATTATGATCTAGGCCTTTTCCCTGTTCCGATGTGTTTAGATACACAAATACGTCCCACTTTGTCACAGTTGCCCTCAGTATTCAGTACAGTAACATGTTTGTAACCAGAAGCAGTAGGCTACACCTGTAGCCTCAGTGTGCAGTACTGTACCATCTAGGTGTGTGTTTAAGTGTACCCTGTGAAGACAGTGCTGAGATCGCCTCAAGGCACCTTTCTTAGAACTCCTCCCCCTTGTTAGGTGAGGCATGACAGTATATACAAAGGTCCTGAGGGTACCAACTACTGGTATGTTCAGGGATCAGGTAGCACTTGACTGGCTTGGCCAGCATGTTGCATGTCCTGAAATTTCCTCTTTTGCTTAGTTCCACCTCTTCCCCCTTTAGGACCTGTATGAGGCAGGGGAACTGAAATGGGGAACAGATGAAGCCCAGTTCATTTACATCTTGGGAAATCGCAGCAAGCAGCATCTTCGGTTGGGTAAGCTCAGAAGAAGACCTACAGCTGCCACCTCAGGGTTATGACAAGAATTCCTTTCTGGCTCGGCGCCTATAGCTCAACTGGCTAAGGC